TTTTTTTTTTTTTTTTTTTTTTTTTTTTTTTTTTTTTTTTTTTTTTTTTTTTTTGAGCCAACCATTTCTGAGCTCTGCATGCATTCATTATACTCGTTCATTATTACCTTCACTTGCCCTCCACCCACATAAAATGTGCTTTCTGATTTTCATGTCCTTGTAATTTGATTATTAGGTCATTTTTTTCTTCCAATTTTTAGTTTCTAATGTGGCTTTTTATCTTTACTCAAAACAGTAGCCCAAGTTATTTCATTCTTCACAATGTGAAGTGTCGAGAATAAATTGGTCCTACCACTTTTGAAATGTGGGGTTGTGCCCATGTGTAACTAATTTTTTTTTCTTTGTGATGGAAATTTCCTTTTAGTTCGTGGATTTCATTTACAACTTAATTAGATAAAGAAAGGTAATTCTTAACATTCTTTTTTTGTTTTGTTTTTGTTTTTTTGTTTTTTTTTTTTTGGGCAGAAAATGCTATTACCTTGTGGCCTTCCTCCAGAAAGGGAAGACGATTGAGATTTTATTAGTTTGTAATCAGAGATTGTACCTTTGATTTGCTAACTCTGTTACGAATTGGCTAATGGGAAGTGATTAAGAATCAGTTTCCAAACCCAGTTGTTATCATCCTTTATTTCAAGAAAAATATGTCCACTCTAGTCATAGTCTGGAGAATTCTCCCATCTTTACATGTGTAGTTCTGTTTAACCTTGAATTGATTGTTTTATTTTTTGAGAAGACCATGAATTTAATTTAATTTGATAGCAATGGATGCTGGATTTGGTTCAGTCAGTTTATAATTATGATCAGTCAGTTTCACAATTTCAGGAATTAATTGTAACAGGACTGTAACGAAATCATGTGATACGTCCTGTGTTAATTAATTCGAGTGGGCTCCTTTTTTTTATTTGGTCCTTGATAATGAGAAATTTCCATGTTCAGCATGGTATTGAATGAAAGGAGGAGGACCATCAAGTAGATCGCTCATGGAACTGCCTCCAGCTTAACTTTGAGGAACATTTTGGTTTGGCAGGAGAGTGCCTCTCCTAATCCCACACTCTTGCTCATCAGTTCTCTGGTGTGAATCTACAAAATGGAAAGCAGATTGAAGTGAAGGGTCAATGAGAGGACAACGTGGGTCCAGCATTGGTCTGTGCCAATTCGATACATCATTAAATGTCCAACTGGTTTCAACGCTTGATTTGTCCCTTCACTAACGAAAGCTACGGTTCATGTTGTGGAAAATGCAAGCACACATGCTCTCGGTCTGACAAAGGTACGCTTTCAGATTTCTTTGGGACTCTTCATGTTTATCATGTCAGAAATTGCAATAACTCTCAGCTAATGGCTAATAGAACCTTGCAGCTCCCCTAAATTGAGCTAAATCAGGTTTCTACTTTGATTATGCAAGTTACTAGAATGTTTGGACTGTTAGTTCACTACTTAACACAAAACCGTGAATCATGTATTTGAGCAAATTTTGTCAGCATGGATGCCCGTAGTTGGACCAATATTTTTTATCACATGCGATCATGTAACCTAGGACTGCGTCAATTCACTTTGACAAGGTATGTTCCTTCCAACTCTTACATAGTCTTATATGCTTACTATCATAGAAAACATTTTAGCGTCAAGCTATAAACCTATACTCAATAGACATCTCTTTAACTCATGATATATCTTTGTGAATCATAGCTGTATTTCAAACTTTTTTTTATTAGAATTTCATGCCAATCATGATTCTTATACCAAAAAGACTGAACTTGATAAGAAAATCTTTAATGACCTAGTACTTGGTAGCAATGCTCAATATATATATATATATTTAGTTTAACAATAATTGAATCATTGCCTTTGGGATTGTTATTGATGTTTCATCTATGGAGCTATATTTTGATTGACAATTAAAATTTTGCCTTGTAAATTGAATCTTTCACAACTTTTAGGGATACCACATGTTTAACCCACGTGAATTTTCATTTCTTCGTTGTTTTCCACATTTGATTTGAGCATCGGACTTTGTCGTATGAGCACTATATTAGTGTTTATTTAACCCATTGAATAATTTTTCAATGAGTACTATATTAGTGTTAGTTTTTTAACCCATTGAATAATTTTTTTTTCCTCCTATTTTGTAGGTGGTTGGATGACCAATCATGAATATTGACATTCACACTCTAGGGTACGATGAATCAAATCATTTGATATGATATGTTTTCAACTCCTTTTGCACGTTTTTACTTCAATATTAATTTGATTTTAAAGATAAATATAAAAGAGATCAATAATGTTGTATGCTTAGCTAATTTTTTTAAGTTGGACAGTACTTTAGAATGTCTGTGGCTAAAGCAAGCTCGACCTTCTCCATCTTCCTTAATGATTGATACCAAACTTCCCATTTTGGCTTTTTGTTCTCTTACATTCATATTCATCCTTGTTTGTCAAAAATGTTTTGATAGGTGTTTGCCATTTCCTTGGATTCTGCTGCCAGTGAGGGACCAACTCCTCTCCGAGCATCATTACTTCATATGCAACCTTTTTTTTTTTGGTTTCTTATTTCAAATCTTACTTAAGTTTGAGTGTTTTTGCTCGATCTCACATTGATTAAAGTGGAGAACAAGTGTCAGCGAGAACACTAAATTTCGTAGGGGTGGATTGTGAGATCTCATTATCAATTGAAGATGAGAACTAAACATTGTTTATATAGGTTTAGAAACCTCTCAGAAAAATCTTGAGAGAAAGTCCAAAAAAAAAAAACAATATCTATGAGTGCACCTGTTTCGTTTAAACTTCTGTACTAAATCAAATTTGATCCGATAATTATTGAGATTGAATTATTTGGAGTTTTGTTGTTATCTAATAATTAATTTCAGGGTTTTATGATTATTAAATGGAAGAAGAGTCCAAGTGAATTGGTTAAGATGGTGGATTGAGTCTTTCATAGATTCCTTTAAAATATGAAAAACCATATGCTTTCCTTTCCTTTCAACCAACCACTTTCCTCTCAATTACAGCCTTTCATATTTTCTGTCACATTTCCATTTTTATATCATTAAGTTTCTACATTATTATTCATTTCATTTTCACAAACCTTTCATTTTTTTTTTATTGCAAAATAAACATTTTTAAAGACTTATAAATATGCATTCATTTCTTCAATAGAGAGATATGTATTTTAAATTTGGACAAATTATTTATTTATTTATATAATAACTTTTAATTTTATCAAATTAAACTTTAAACTAATTTCATTAATAATCGAGTTTTTGAATATATATAAATTTGATTAATGTTCATTTTAATCCCGGTAATAATTTAATTTTTTTTAATGAAAGCATGCACGAATATAAAATTTGTAATGAATTTTAATCAAAACTTATTGTGATTAAAATTGCAACACTCCAAAGTTTTTAGTTTTTTCTATTTTCTGAAGTAATAAGAGTATCGTGTATCTTAATTTGCAAGAAAGAAAAATTACATAATTTTTATTATTTATTTAAAAATACAATGTTTTTATTTTTTTTAAAAACCCCAAATTTTATGATCCCTTTTTTTTTTTTTTTTTTTTCTTTTTCCTTTATTGTTTTTCCGGACGACAGGATTGATCGCTCGTCTGTCTATCAACTAGCGATGAAAATAGTAAAAAAAAGAAAAAAGAAAAAAAAAAGGCAATTAATTAAAAGATGAAGAAAAAGAAAAGGAAAAAGTACAAATATTGACACGTGTATTAATCCAGCTTACAAGTTTAAAAAGGACAGTGAAAGATCAGGTCGAGACGTGGCTTCTTGTGAAGGGACTAGAGGCGAGTCTAGGATATAATCATGGGTGCATGACAGCAGATTGGTACTTAAAATGTAATTAACATAAAACAGTGTGTTAAAAAGGAATTAAGAAAATTAATTAAAAGAAAATTGAAAAAGGAAAACAATATCACCTGGCCTTGTCTTCCTCTTCCCCCAATCTTCCGAACTTTTTTCTCATCCATTTTCCTTCATTTTCTCGCTTCCTTTTCTTCACTCCGTCGAAATCCACCAAATATTCTCCTCTTCCTCCTCTAATTCGCGAAGAAACTGATCCTTTTCCAAAGCTCAGATCCGAAGATCTCATCCCAGTATGTATTCTGAACCTTGTTTTTGTTTTTTGTTTTTTGTTTTTTGTTTTTCCCCCTTCTTTTGTTGTTTTTTTCGCTCACATTGGCGTTAAAATCTTTGCCATTACCTTATTTTGCGACCTCGTCTTCCAATCCCATTCTTGTTCTATTCAATCTCACTATCACGATGTCCTTTTCCTCGCCCCTTTTGATCTCCAATTCGTTTTTCCTCATGTAATTGCACTTCTTTTCTTGTATCTCGTAACATGCCTTTTAATTCGGTTTCCAGATGTTAACTTACATTTGTATGTACAGGGAATGTAGGTTGTGAGATTTGGATACGGAAGGCGTTCGTGTGCTGTGCGTGATTTGAGGCTTGAATGGAATTTGCGATCATTACCATCATCGGGCTGGAAGGTGTGGATCAGAGGCAGTATTGATTATTTCAATCCTCAGAAGAATCGATGCGGTACCTGGATTGGGAACGGAATTGTTCGACGGGGAAGCATTTGTGTGCCATATTGTATGGTGGACTAAATTTTGAGCTGATTGATATATAAAGGGAGAACTTGGTGGATTAGTAAATTAGGTCATGGAGCGCATTATAGGTGGGAAGTTTAAGCTTGGAAGGAAGATCGGCAGCGGATCATTTGGCGAACTTTATTTGGGTATACAGTTCATGTGTTTTTTTATTCGTTTGTTCTTGCAATTCACGTGCTTGTATGAGAAACATGGCGGACATTGATGGTGTTTCGTTTGGTTTATGCAGGTACAAATGTACAAACTGGAGAGGAAGTGGCTGTCAAGCTGGTAAGTAGATCATTCAGTTGTGTTTCCAATCCTATTTACTGGGAAATTTGGTGATTTTGTTTTTTCTCCTTTGCGCTCTAAAGAAAATTTTGCGATCAAGATTAAAAACGAATTTTTTTCCTTAAACAAAGATTGTCCTCTAATTTCTCGAGTTTTGATATTGATTTTTGGCTTCTTAAAACTTTTGTTGTGAACACTGGCCAGAAACTTTAACGAACACATTCGCATCTCGAGTGTTGTTGTCTCCAGAATTTAAGGGAAGGATGAAAGCCTTTTTTTTTTTTATTGCTTATCAAACTTCCTCTCCTTGACATTACCGTTTAGACGTTTTCATTATATACACTTTTTTTTATCTTACCCCTCATTGCTAGGCGTGGGGGAAAGGGAAAAAATAACGTATCAAAATCTTGATGTCTTTCTGAATTTATATGTTCTATATTTACACTGGTCTAATACATAAGTTGTTCATTATGATACATGTTAACTGTATCCACCATTTGATTTATATTCTACATTGACAAAATTTTAGAATCTGATGATTCATTTATGAGATTCTTGTTTCCTCAGGAATCTGCAAAGACCAAGCATCCTCAGCTTCACTATGAGTCAAAACTATACATGCTTCTTCAAGGAGGAAGTAGGTTTTCTCGATTGTTCATTTATGCTGAATGATGCTAACAATACTTTCTTAGAACTATGTCCAATCGTGTAGGGGTTTTTCTTCTAATATACTTTGTTTATATATCCAGCCGGTGTACCCCATCTCAAATGGTTTGGAGTTGA